TTTAAATCGTACGATGAACAATAAAAACATGGCATCTTTTTAGCAAAACTCGTACTAGAACAATTCAAGAAATCCCATGTTCTTGGGAGTCCATAATTTGAATATACTTTTTGTTTTTACACAAGAATTATATCAATAAATAAAGGTAGGATATTCATACTACTATTTTTTTTCTCCTACCACTTTAATATAACTATGTACTTCGGTGAGTATATTAAAAGATATTTTTCTTTTCTCTTTCTTAAGAAACTTTTCAGAGGTTATCGGTTGAAAAATGGGATTTAAAAGTGATTAAAGTAGTAATAAAATAGTAATTTAGTAGTAGAAATAATTAATAATAAAAATATCACACCTGCAATAAATATGTAGCTTTTTATTTGTGCACAAAAAGAGTAGTGTAAGTAAATGGAGAATCTCTAAGGCATCCCTAAAGTAATACTATAGCAAATATTGCAACTATTGAGTCTAATTTAACTCAAGGGTTTAGTGTTATTTTAGCCTTCCAAGTTTACAACATACATAAATATGCAATATCATAAATTATATTCTTACTTAAATAGTAGAATATTCTTACTAAAACAGTAGAATATTCTTAATGTACGTAAGAATCTTTTTAAATAAAGCTGACTCAGTTGTGTTTACAAAAAAAAAAAAAACTGACCCAGTTGCAGATTTATATTTTTTTAGATTCCAACAGCTTTAACAAAAGACATGTTGTGTGTTGAATAACTTGTCTACATAAAGATATTCATCATCTCAATAATGGTGTTAAAAAATATTTTTGAATGGAACTTAATAATGATCACTAGATCAATATTAGAAAAAATAGCAGTCATGTGACAATAAGTTTTTTTTTTAATATTATCAGTGGATCAAACTTAAATTGTTATTATTATTATGCCAGCTTAGTTTTTTAATATATATTTATTCAATTACAGTAGAGAAGATTTATGATATCTATAGGTAGAGGCGAACCTGAGATTTTTTTTATGATGGAGGGTAAAAATAAAATATTAAAGTTACAAATGTTGTTGAGAATAATAAGATGGACTACCATTATAAGTACTTTTTAAGGAGGGCTAACTATTAGTTGTAATAGTTTATTATTGTTAAACAAATATCATTTTATACATATAATAATAAAATAATCAAAGTTTTAGGAGAGACGAATACCAATACTTGCATCTCCTTCGGTTGATCCCTGTATATGGGTCTTATGTAGCAAATTTCTATAAAAGACGCTTGATCAGATCATTTGAAATTGAGTCTAATCATATATGGTTGAGTCTAATTCAAATTAGAGGGTTCTTGTGCATAAACTTGCCAATGTTGGAGGAGTTGGTATTCTGAGGTAGTGTTTGGAATCTACAAGTTAGATAAATCTTCCATTCGGTAGGGATAGATAGCTGTAAGACATTCTGACGCTCAAATCAGTATTTTTTTATTATACGAAAGATGAATATATCTTTTTCCTTTCTATTATAGTGTGCGACATGACTTGTTTGTAGGTACAACTAACCGACTGTCTTTGTGTAGCAAATGCGTTGATATGCATTCTGATCGGCTCATTTGTGTGTTCTTTACAACTTACTTTCAATTGAAGGATACCACTTGGAGTCTTGAAGAACTATATGACCGAGCCTTAGTCAGTGGCGGAGCCAGCATGACATGTTAGCAAGTGTCAAAAAATTCAGCCAGTGCCCAAAACGTAAGAACTTCAAAGTTGAACCTTGGGCGAAGCAATATCTATCCACGAAGCGGTGATTAGGCAGGAGTGCGTCTAATTTTCAAAAAAATTGAAACAAAATTTGCTACGTTTCAAGTGTAACTAAATGAGCGTGGCTAAATAAGCCAGTGACAAAGCAGCTACAGACCACAACGTGGCTCCGCCACTGGCCTTAGTTGAAAGTTCATCCATGCCATTCAGTCATTGGCTGAATAAGGTGGTGACTAGTCTTAAGTTGCTAGAGTAATGCTGCGGGATGACATGTACATGCATTCTATACGTTTCTTCCTTGCTAAGGATTGTTTTGGGTTTAATCGTGCAATATCACACAATGGACTTTTGCCTTAGTTCAATCTTTGTGACTCATATTTTTGGTCCAAATCAACTCTAAACTCAAATTTCATCTTGCAATTCAAATAATTTAAGATATTATATCCATACAACAAAGGAGTACATGTTTTTTAAGATCATATGATTACAAGTTTACAACATATCATAAGAACTTAAAATAAAAAAATATAGACGGATCTATATATCATAATTTCAATGAACTAGTTTATAGATAATATTTCTATTCCCTATTCTAGCGTAGACATTTTTCAAATTATTGGATGAACAGTAGAAATATCGCATCTTTTCTGCAGAATTCACCTTTGCTGTACAAAAACTCAAGATTCCACCCCATAAGCTTCCACACGCACCAAAATAATAAATAAAAAAATCCCATAGCATTTCTATAAATATCTCCCAAGAAAAAAGTGTGTTATTTTAAACGACGTAAAATTGTGTTATTTTAAATGAGAAAAAAAAATAAAAAAATGGGAGAGAAAATGGATTAAAAAAATAGAGGTGTGGGTGCCACCTTTTTATAAGAGTGAAATGATATAAATTATGTCATTTAAAAGCACAAACACTTTTCCCATATCTCAAATAATGGATAAGTAGAAAAGCTAACATTGAATGGACCACTAGACAAGCCAATGTGATAATGCTTAATTATGCAGCTCTGATGGCGAAATCTTACTTTGACAATAACCATTCTCCAAAAATAAGGCAAGGCAAAGGTCCAAACTCCAAATCCGTAGAGAGCTTCTCTATAATTGGTCGGTGTTTCAATTTAGGGAAAAGTGTCTATACATTTAAATTACACAACTTACATCCTTTCACTCTCACAAAGAGGTGGGACCCACAACTTTATTTTTTTTGTCAACTCTCTCTCCTCCTTTATCTATCTCTTTCTCTCTCTTAAAATGATACAACTTTACATCCTTCAAAATTATACACACTTTTCCCTTCAATTTATGCATTGATTAATAATGCCAAACTACTGAGAACCAGTTATAGTTCCTCCTATTCCCAAGGAAAATGACTAGATGAATGTGATCAAAGTCTGGTTTCAGAAATATATTTTCAAGTATCTCCTACCAAACCAAACCACAATATTTAGTATATAGTGGGATGAGCCTGCATCACTAATTTGTTTGTGGTTGTTATCTTCAACAATTGACAAAGATCCAAACTCATTGAGACTCATATATATACCATTACCATCTAAAAGATTTTGTTATCTTTTTTTTTGGTGGACTAAAAAGATTTTGTTATCTATCATAGTCAAGCAGTAAAAAACTTTTTGGCGAACAATCATGACAAAATTTTTGTTAGTATTCTTATAATATTGAAAACTCTGTGCATCATTAATTAAAATTAAAAAAAATTAACTTAATTAGATGTATTTCGCGCTTTTTTTATTATTAATGAAACATAAGTTTCTTAAGAATTGATTTTGGTTTTTATTTATTTTTAATTTTATTTCTAATTTAATTCTGCAATTTTTTTTAATTGGTACGATCAATTCATTTCATTAGTTTTCTTTTACCTAAATAAAACCTTCAACTATTTTGTTGTTGTGTGTGTTTTACACAATTTTCATATAAATCATTTTAAACCTTTTTTCACTAAAAACCTACTGATCAAAACATCAAATTTCACCTAAAATTAGAAAATTCCAATTTTTTTCTTCCAAACCATATTCTCACTTATTACAAAATTAATCGAATTTCAATAATTTTTCACTAAATTTTAATATTCTAAACAATTCAAATTCTTTTTATTTCAATTCTGTCCTAAAACCCCCTAATTATTTGAGTAAAAAAAATGTAAATCTAACCCTTGGTAATTGAGTGTCCAAGGGTTTGCTTTGATAAGGGATTCAAATCTTGGTTAAAGCAAATTCTTGGAATTCTTTGAGAGTCACTGAGAAACTGTCTCCCCGTTCTTTCAATGAGGAGCTAACCTTAGGGGGTGGTACTCCGAGAACAAGATGGTTAGAGGAGGTTGTGTGAGGATACTTCCAGGTTATTTATCAAAAATAATAATATAAATTTAGGTATTTTAGGTTAAGCTAGCCCTGCCGTAGCAATATGTTTGTTGTAACGCCCATTCTACCCCCGGTTCGTTAACATGACGTATAATATTAAAGGCGATTACAATCACTGTCCAATTAAAAGAAAAGGCAAAACTTTTTTTTTTTAAACATAGTGCATTTCTGATTAAATCAATAGTGTAATTTAAATGAAACCCAAAACTACAATTATAACAATGTGCCTCTTAATTAATTCTCTGTATGCATGATTAATTAATTAATTCAATGCAATTAGATATTTTACAAATTAGAGTTATTATATTAGAGTTATTATATTTGTTCCTCGTAATTGGAAGGTTATGGGTTCAAATCGAAGAAATAAACTCTTTGTAAAACTATAAAGGTAAACGGCTTATTAGTAAGGGAAATCCTTGTATTTTTATGAGGTAAGTAAAATAAGTGTACAAATAGCAAGTAATCATTCATAAGTGAAAATAGTATAGATTTGAAGTAACGCTCATTAATAGCATCATTATTTAAGAAACGACCAGAGGTAGGAGAAGGACGCTACAGCATTTGTCTTGTCCAAAGTAAAAAAACAAAACATGATTATGGCTTTTTCAGAATGAAAGTACCACCATATTGTAGTGGAATAAATCAGGGCCATGTCATAATACGAAGTGCACATGGATAAAGATAAAAAATAGTGTACTAAAAAAAAAAGATAAAAATAGGGCATAGACTTTCATTAAAATGGTCCTCAAACAAAATAATGTTAATGTTGTTCGTGTTCTGTGAAATTACTCTTATCTTTCGAGGACCATTCTTAGCACTAACATACACAAAATTGTAAAAATGGTCATTTACAATGCAACGACATGCTATTGTTAGAAAAATTAAACAGAATGATAAACAAAAGAGGAAACAAGAAGGTGGAAAAGTTATTTATATTTTGGCACTCTGCTACAAAACAAGTTCAAACTTGAAACTAATGCCTTTGGAGTTCGTAAAGTTTAAACTAATTAAATAAGCAAATAGCCAATTTCTCATTATTTACACACACTATTCTTTCTTTTTTGTCATTTTGAAATAAACAAAGACTTCAAACTTCAAAGACGAGACACAGCCAAAACCTGCTCATTACTATAACCACCAATATTATGATTGACTTGGCTAGACTTCTTGTTTTTGGATTGCAGATTCTCAGATACCACGAATGCTTTTGCCTTCACTCTTAATTCAAACTTCTGAATCTTCCCAGTTGAAGTCTTTGGCAGCTCCTCCATAAACTTCACCATCTTAGGAACCATAAAGGGTGACATGTTCTTCCTGCAATAGGCAATTATATCTGACTCGGTAACATCTTTTGCTGTTCCTGATGAGTTGTTCTTTTTCAATGACACAAAAGCACAAGGGCTTTCACCCCACCTTGGATGTGGCATTGCAACCACTGCAGCCTCCAACACACTTGGGTGCCTATACAGAACAGATTCAACTTCTACACTGCTTATGTTTTCTCCTCCTGAAATGATCACATCTTTGGACCTATCCTTGATTTCCAAATAACCATCTGGGTGTATAACCCCAACATCCCCAGTACTAAACCAACCATTGTTGAAAACTTTTGATGTTTCTTCAGGGTTTTTGTAGTACCCCATCATGATACCACTTCCTTTCAACACAATCTCCCCCATTGTCTTTCCATCTCTTGGCACACTTTCCATTGTGTCAAGGTTCTTCACATCAACATCAGCAAGAGTCAACACACTAACACCTTGACGTGCTTTCAGCTGTGCTTGTTCTTGCTTAGGAAGCTGGTTCCACTTCTGTTGCCACTCACACACAAGTGCTGGTCCTGTTGCCTCAGTGAGACCATATGCATGTGTGACATGGAAACCAAGTGACTCGATTTTCTCAAGAAGTGATGCAGGTGGTGGTGCTCCACCAGTGAGTATTTGAACCGGGGATTTGATCAAGCACCTCTCACTTGGCTTGGCTTCTAAAATGATGTTGAACACAATTGGTGCGCAACACATGTGTGTCACATTATGGAAAGCTATGTTCCTGTATATGTCACATGCTGCAGTGTTCCTAAGGCAAACATTGGTACCACCTCTTGCAGCAACTCCCCAAGTGAAGGTCCAACCATTGCAATGGAACATAGGAAGTGTCCAAAGGTAAACTGGTTCACTTCCCATTTCCCATCCAAGTATTAGGCTCAAAGTACTGAGGTATGCTCCTCTGTGGCTATAAACAACTCCTTTGGGTTCTGAAGTTGTACCTGATGTGTAATTCAAAGCAATTGGGGCCCATTCATCTTGGATTTCCTCAGGAACATAATTTGGATTACCATGGTGAACCATTTGCTCATATTCCAGCTCACCTAGCCGGATTCCAGTGGGAGAGTTTATGTCATCTATGACAATGACTAGTGGTAGAGATTTATAGTACTGTTCTGTTGGTTTTCCACCCTTTTGAAGATTATCTCCGATGAGCATCCTTAGAGCATCTCTTGCCTTGGAGACATACTCATAGTCCACAAAGAAGACTTTGGCTTCAGAGTGCCTAAGAATGGTGGCTATGTTCTTAGCATCCAAACGGGTGTTAATGGTGTTGAGCACAGCACCAGCCATAGGCACTGCAAAATGCATCTCATACATTGCTGGAATGTTAGGTGCCAGCACTGAAACCTGTTCCATTAACCACAAACAAATTATTAATTAGTACACAAACTTCATGCATGCATGATTATTGGAATTTAACTTCTCACTTTGTTGATGTTTTGTACTTTATACATACTATAAAAAATGGGATAAGTTATTCTACCTATCATTCTTTTGCCTACCTTTCCCTACTACTCTAAAACATCGTTAGATCAGAATCTCAAGAAGAGAGAGAAAGATAAATGTTAGTTAAGATTCTGATGTAAAGATGTTTTAAAGTAGTAGACAAAAGTAAGAAAAAAAATGATAGGTAGAATAAGTTATTCCATAAAAAATTTATGAGTACAAGAAAAGTTATGTATTACACTTACAACATCATTCTTAGCAATATTGAGGGAACGGAGAGAGGAAGCAAGGCGAAGGCAACGATGATGAGTTTGTGACCAAGTGAAACGGGTTCCATCATGGATGATTGAGGTACGGTTTGAGTAGCATGAAGCTGCTCTCATGAGAAAAGTTAAAGGGGTGAGTGTGGTGTAGTTTGCTTTGCATTTTGCAAGGTTGTCCATTTAGATATTGAAGCAAAGTAGGACGAAAACAGAGTTGTTGTGAGAACAGGGTTGTTGTTGTTATTGATGATGATGATGTTGTTGTTGTTGTGGTTAAGAGTGTGAGAATCCCATGGGGTTTGGGGGGTTTATTTATATAGGAAAAATAACATGCTTGGGAGGGTTACGTTTGTTGTGTTGAGGCCACGTTATATTGGAAAATGTGTGGGGGCCAGTGAGTAACTAAGAAGATGCTATGAAGCTTGGGTGTGGAAGTTAAATATATGGAAGTTGCTTTGATATTACTAAATGTGGGTGTGATCAGTTTGAACACATGATTGTTGACATCTGACCTTACTTTTTAATTTCTATGCTTTTTACATGTTGCATTATAATTTATGAAATGGAACTTTCACACTCAAATGAAGAACCATGAATTGAGCCCATCCACGAAATTTTCTTTACTATTCACCAAAGAAGAATAAATGCATTACTTATGAAATGTGAAAATAAAATAAAATAAATATATGATAAATATGTGGATCAATTAACGGGTTGTTTCGGCTTAATCAATCATTTCAAATTTAAATCCTTGTTATTCAATTTTAATAGGAAAATTTTAACGCTCTTGTGATTATAGTCAACTCTATTGGATTAATCATCAGGTGAAAAAATAAAAAATGATAAAAAAATATACTATTTAATTAATTTATTTTACCTAATATTTTATATTTAACATCATGTGACTCCCATTTATTTTTCCTTTAATAAAAGAATAAATATTGCAAATATGAAGATTTACTCGCATCCAAACAATCCATATTTCACTAACACATCAACTCTCCCGTGGCTAACATGGAGGCCTCTGATAATAATAATAATAATAATAATAATAATAATAATAATAATGAACAACCCCACTTTCTTCTTGTACCTAATAGCAATAAACTAAATAGGATTCATACTTTCGAACAAGATTCCAAATATGAAGTCTTTTTCATAGCTTTTTCTTTGAAGATTATTGAACTTCTAACTGATATGAGATGACCAGTGTAATTTCTTCTAACTTCTAACTTCTAACTTATTGGAGTAGCTAAAGCATCCATGAATAGTTATGGAGCATTCAATTATTTTATGATGACCCAGCAAAACCTGACAATATGCATATGCACAGGGCCCGGGGTGGGGTTTAATTACCCCAATTATTTTTACATGTATATTTTTTATTTAAAAGAATACAAACTAATTTAATGTAAGGTTTATATATGGCTTAACTTATTCACAAAATAGAAACTAATAATGAATTTATTTTATTGCCTCCTTACTATATATCTGTAATTTACCTCATTAATTAATTATTTGTAATTAGTAAGCACGGGGCTGCTTTAAATGAACTTTTACAGAACTTTGTTTATATATATATATATATATATATATATATATATATATATGTGATTTTTAAAAGATATTTTCAAATTAAAATTTATTAAACATTTAGATATAAAATTTGAAAAAAAATTAAGTTTGAACTTTTTTACTGTTGTGAAAATTCTTTTTTTTTCTAAAGTACAAAGTTATACATTAAATCGTACTTGAACTTTTTCTCCACCAAAATATACTAAAATATAACATTGCATGCGCACAAAAACTTTGTATAATTTAAGGATTCCAAATTTAGAGGTTTGAGTTTATAGGAAACTAGTTGTGGGGAGCAAATTCTCAGTAATCGAGGAAAGAATAGTCTTTCGTTAAATGATACATAAATATATAAGACAAAAGTACAAAATTATAATTTAAAGGACGTTTTTTGAAAAAAGTCTTTTTTATCAATAAAAGTTAATCCGAGCAAAGTATATATATATATATAAATAAATAAATATATATATATATATATATATACACGTCAGAATCATTTTACACTAGTGTAAATTACACTTTTAATCTTGTCTGTTGATCTCACTTATATCTAAGGGTTCAAATTTTATAATGATGTGAACCATTGGATACAAGTGGATCAATGGTCAAGATTGAGTGTAAGACTTCTAACTCTTATACAGGTATAAGAATATCCTGCCCTATATATATATATATATATATATATATATATATATATATATATATATATATATATAGAGGCAAGATCCTTTCACACCGGTGTCAAATTTGAAATTTGATACCTCATCTGAGAGTCGTTAGATCAAAAAACATCAATGGCTCTGATTTGTAAACATGTGACACCATTGATCTTTTTTGATCTAATGATTATCAGATGAGGTGTCAAATTTCAAATTTGACACCGGTGTCAAAGGATCCTACCTCGTATATATACATATATATATATATATATATATATATATATATATATATATATATATATATATGGGTGATAAAAGAATACAAGGGGCTTTTGGCTCATCTTGTAAAGCAACATGCTTAAAATTGGTTGTTTGAACCAGGCTTGGACTTGTATAAAAGTTCGTTTAATAAAAAAACTTCAGGCTTCAATTCAAAAGCTCGGTCTTAGAGCCTCTCAGGCATAGTTGTTAAAATCTCGATTTATCACTACGATTTTACATTTTTACGATTTTTTTTTCATCAAAACGATTTTACCAATATTCCAAACGCTTTTACGATTTCACGTTTTACGATTTTTTAGTTTCTTTTCGATTTTACTTAAAATCTCGATTTTAACAACATTGCTCTCAAGCTGACCTAATATATTAATTTTTATTTTATATAATTTTTTATACTACTTGTGCTAGCCCTCTTTCTCCTCAATCCATTTCATCTCATTTTATTGGTTAAACAGACTTTTTGAATGATTTTGTTCTATATTATGTTGTTTGGATATATATTGAATTTATGAATATTTATGAAATTACTAGTGTTGTTGATTGTACATTATGTTCGGATAAATTTTTGTTGTCTTATCTTTTTTAAACAGGCTAAATCAGGCTTTCATTTTTTGTAAATAAGTCAGGCCACATGCCAATAATTATATTCATAACAAATCGCAGGCTTAATTAAGCTGACACATTTAAACACAGACGTAACATTTTAAGGCTCAGCCTGTTAACATCCATATATATATATATATATATATATATATATATATATATATATATATATATATAGAGGTAGGATCCTTTGACACCTGTGTAAAATTTTAATTTTGACACTTCATCTGAGAGCCGTTAGATCAAAAAAGATCAACGACTCTGATTTGCAAGCATGTGACACCATTGATCTTTTTTTATCTGACGACTCTCAGATGAGGTGTCAAATTTTAAATTTGACACTAGTGTCAAAGGATCCTACCTCATATATATATATATATATATATATATATATATATATATATGAGCGCAAAGATTGATAGATCTGTCTGCATTATTAAATCCACATATACATTATCATATCAACACTTGGTAAGTTTTTTTTTCCTTTTTAGTACAAAGTTTGTTTTTATTTTAAACATATAGATATAAATGGTTTTAGGGTTTTATGTTTGTTATCACACATTGACCAAAAAAAAAAAAAGTGGATAGACGGTTGATTCAACTTTCAAGTCTAGATTTTTCGCGAGAATCATTTGAGCTTTCAAACATGGATGATGCACAGATATATTTATTTATTTTATGTGACCATGTAGTTAAATTTAATTTTGTTTTGTTTTTATCTGAAGAATATTGAAGGCAATAAAGATCGATCTATAAACTACTTGGTTATAGGTTCCAATTCAACCAACTCTTCTTAATGTTTAAGTTATTGAATCGAAGTATATAAATCATTTTATTATATCTCTTCACATACTATTAAAGCATGGATGATTAACACACCCACCACACAAGAATGTTTATCTAGACAAAGAGGTCAAGGATAATGACACCGCTTTAATCGATACTACAGGCTTGTTTGGATGAGTGTTTTTTTTAGCCAAAAATTGTTTTTTTAGGAGGAAAAAAACACTTCTATTACAAAGTCTATTTGAATGTTTGTTTGTTTTTTTTTTTTTAAATATAAGTTACAAAAAAGGTCAAAAACCTGTACTTTTTTGAAGTTAAAAATTTTAGCTTCTAAAAAAAAGTCAAACGTTAAATATTTTTTTCAAAATTCAAATATTTAAAAAAAAAATTAAATAGCTTTTGCTTTTGTAAAAAATACTTTTAAAATAAACAAGGCATAAAAAGTCCTTTTATACAAGCCCATCCAAACAGGCCCTATGACAAATAATCAATTGCCTCAAAAATTTAAGTTGTTAGGTGAGGGCATATTTATTATTTTATATTATATTATTCATTAATAATATATAACAAATTTAGATTTTATATATTATTAATAAATAATATATATATATATATATATTTATAAAAAATACTATTTTTCAATTTGTTTTATTCTTTTATACATGAATCATATTCTTGTATTAAGTATTTTACATTATATTTATGCTTTGTATGTACTAAGAAATTTTATTATAATTTAATTAAGTTTTTAAACTTTATTTGCACATACCTTAGCTAGAGTTGTTAACCCAAATAGCTACGTTTCTCGAAACTTTAATTCGAGACCATTTGATAAGCTAAAATAACCGTTTACTAATTGATCTATATGTTTGTCGTATTATTTAATATTATTTGTAACACATTTAATAGAAAATGCCTTCGCGCCATTTAGCATTTTCTAAAGTAGATTAATGACATGTAAGATATCGCATCACAATCATTTATATGGCAGCAATTTGGTATAAGTTTTATGGTAGATTAGCAATAAGTTAAAACTTTTGTATTTATGATAACGTCTTTCTATAGGCCAAAATAAGGTTGATGAGGAGATAAGTATCCTATTATAAATCATTAATCATTAATCATTAAGCATTTCTATTTACCATGAAGCATTTCAACTAAGTGGGAATCTATTTACCACGAGGTAGGTGATGCAGTAGCTCCATCATTCTTATATAATTGAAGAAGTTATTAACTTCTAAGTACGAGTTAGGACAAAGTCGTATTAGTTATTAGGGAACAATATAAATCACCGAAAAAGCCCTCATTCAACATCAGTTGCGGACCCAGGAATTTTTTTCTGTGGGAGCTAAAAATTAAACATTTGTTTCTTTCTTCAAATATAATATATGAGAGGCCAAAATACAAAAACATAAATATTTGTTCCTCTCTTCAACCACAATATGTGGGAGACCGCCGAAACACCAATCCAAAGAACATAACACATCAATAACTCT